CAGGGGCGGGATCTCTGCTGCCCCGGATGTTCTGGGGAGCTACTCTCCCCCTCAGTTATAACGGAGTCTCCCTAGACTGACAGCAGGGGCGGGATCTCTGCTGCCCCGTATATTCTGGGGAGCGTTACTCCCCTCGTCCGTTATAACGGAGTCTCCCTAGACTGACAGCAGGGGCGGGATCTCTGGTGACCCGGATGTTCTGGGGAGCGCTACTACCCCCCTCAGTTATAACGGAGTTGCTGTACATTGACAGCAAGGGTGGGATCTCTGATGAACCTTCTGTATTGGGGTGGAATACCCTCAAGTTCACACAGGACTCTCAGTTATATTCCTTAATACTGTAGGCACTTACCTCTGCCACTGCCCTTACAAGGCCCTCACCTCCTTGAGACCTTCCTTGCAGAAATCAGCCCGGCAGTGGAGGTGAGGGAACTCTACCTGACGCGCTGTTTGGGCGTGGTACTCAGTCAACATTCATCTAGATCTTCATCTTGGTGCCTGTCTTTTTAATGAAGGGCTTCTCGGGGGATGACACATCCCTGCAAACCCTTGAGTAATTTTTCTACTTGCAAATTTTACAGAAAATGAGTCTGTGTCCCAGGAGTGATATGAGATGGGGAAGCTGAGGAAGAAGGCAGAGGACTAGGGATGGGAGGTGGGCTACAAGCCAAGGACAGCAGCCTCAGACAAAACCACAATGCCAGCTCCTTGATCTTGGGCTTCCACCCTCCAGAACTAGGAAAAAATTACTTTCTGTTGTTTAAGCCTCCTAGTTGGTGGCATTTCATTATGGCAGCCCTAGCCAAGCAAGTGAGTACACTGCCCTAGATGAAGATTTCTTACTGGCTTATCTATGATGCCAAAGTAATTCACAGTAGTATGTTTTCACAGCCTCCTAGACACCCCATGAGGTGAGGAAAGATTTTCCCCAGTATGATTGTGTGGTGTCCAAACACACTGGACACTGTAGAGATGAGACAAACAGGTGTTTATGAATCAAGTGTATGCACAGATTCAGGGGGGAACACCATGTGCTACCTAGCACAACATGGGGTTGCACTCAGGAACAAATAAAATAAACGGACCTGTGGAAGGCAGGGTTTGCAGTATCAGAGGATGAGGCAATCCCCTGTCCCCATGGGAGCAAGTAATCGGTTTGTTTGAAAAATTTCACCAACTGGTAGGCAAGAAAAACTTGCAATTTATGAATAAGCAAGATGTGTCTGTGCCTTGGTCCCTTGATAAAGATGGTTGGTTGTTACAGGACCTTTCCTGCATGTGCACGGTGTGGAGGAGAACTTGCAGTTAGGCAATTCAGAGCCCTGCTGGGTTCTCCAAGTATCAAGGAGCACCTGACATTGGACCTTAATTTTAGACCTTACACCACAGTGTAGTTTTCCATTCAGAGATTTTTTTCCCTCAGCTCTGAGACACATCATCTGAGGGTCTGGCCTCTACTCGGCACTCCCACAGTCACATCTACTCCATAAGGCACTTTAATTATAATTACATTGCATGTATTGACTTGCAGCTTCCTGAAACTTAAAGTACCCTGCCTAAGGAATTTACACTTTACTACTCTCACCTGTGACACCTTCATTCCCACCCTTTCCCATAAGTCATAGAGGATATCTCAACATCTTCCTTCTGTGATGGCAGCTCCTAGCTTCTGAAGTTCTATAGGCAGAGGCTCGGGCTTTATCTTATCATCCCAGCACTAATACAAAGGCTTCCAAAGAGCAGATACTCAACTGATGTTTGGGGAATAAAGAGAAAGTCTAACTTGTTAAGATTTAATATCTCCTACATTCTTTAACATGCTAAGCACACCAAGGTGTAAATCATTTACTTTTATAAAGCGAAAGACTGAAGGGAGTAAGGAAACTCAAAGGTGATCTGTTTTATTTCTCTATTCCGTTATCCCAGCTATTTTACTGTGGGATTCCTTCCCTGAAAATCCCTATTGTGGTATCACATTTTCCTACAGGATGACTAAAACTGTCTCAAACTTCAGTAGGGGCTGTGGAAGCTGCTGGGGAGGGCCCTGGAATTCATAGCGGCTGCGGCAGAGTGCCAGCCCCGGCTGCAGCTCTGGCTCGGGCCCTCTCTTTCTCACCGTGCAGATCTTCCTCATTTGGTGATGAAAAGACACTGGGGACCCTTTTGTTGACCTTCACCAAAAATTCTAGCAGTTTCGTCTTGCTGTTTTCCTCATGGGCCCCTGGGACCCACAGGAACTCACCACATGGAGGATCAGTGGCAGGCACCAGGCAGTACTCCAGGGACTCCAGAGCTTGGGTGAGGAGCTTCCTGGGTTGCCTCTAGATGAAGTGCTTCCTCCCAGCATATCCTTGCACCATGTTCGGGAATTTCCAGATGTCTTCCTCAGAGGCACGGTTGTCCTTCATGAAGATCACACCCAGGACGGTCATCAGGAGACTGGCTGGGCATCAGCAAGCCCCTGCCAGCACACCCCCTCCCATTGGTGGGGACCTTCAGTTTTCTGACGAGGTCCTGTTAGTGGCTGGTTGAGTTGATTTCCTTAAAGTCAACTGGAAAGATCTCAATGTGCTCAGAGGCTGTCTTGAGGATTTCAGCAAATCGGCCTGGGTGCTATTCGTCGACCATCTTCAGCATGTCCTCCTTCATAACGGGCTGCTTCATTTTATGCTTCTGTGGAAGGAGCTGCTCCAACAAGCACACTTTCATATTTAGAGCAACACCCTGTGATCACTCAGTAGAAAGGGAGACCTCAGCAGAACGTGACGGTTCCTCACCCTGGATCTAATCACCTTCATTAGATCTTATACCAAAAATGCCCCAAGAAGTAATGGTGTGCACGGGACTCTCTAAGCACCCTGGGAAGCACCGCCTGAGACAGGAGATGATGAGGGCTGGGGGTTCCCCTCTGAAACAGAAGAGGAAGGCGTCTCTTCTTTGGCTGCAAGGGCCTGAAATCTGTGACTGGGAGAATCCTCGGGCCCGGGGGCATTTCCCACGAGTGTGCCGCCTACTCTTCTGACTCTGTGGTCAGGGCCAGCAGGCATGAGTGTGAAGAGGAGGACGGGTGATGACGGCCCACTGGAGGAGGAACGCTGGAAAGGTGGTGCTTCTCCAGAGTGGAAATACCTTCTCAGCTGGCGTGTGTAAGGAAGGCGACACTTGCAGGGTTCCTGGGGCCACTGCTTTAAAAACTGATGGGACTTCTCATGAGCTTGTCCCTTGGGAAACCTGTGAAGAAAACTGGAGTGAGTGTGAGGCTACATCCTGCCAGCCCTGCCTCAGGCATTCTGGGGTGACAGCAGGGGCTGGCAGTCTTCTAGGTTGAGAAGTCTCTTATTTCCCACTCAAGGCCATCGCTCAACTTCTGGGAGCTCATGGGACCTGGTCCCTCTGCTGCTCTGAGGTTGACATCACAAAGCTTCCCAGGACCCACAAGAAGGGAGTGCAGGGGGTCCCCACCTCATCACCCCTGTCCACGTGCCCCCAGTGCTGACTGCTCGGTGAGCTGTTTTCTGTCCTGGTCTCCTTTGGATCCTCAGTCCTTGTTAAGAATCCTTACTTTGGCTCCACTTAGGGCCTAGTAGCCCCCCCCCTTGCAATGAATGGTGGCTGCACCTTCAAACTAAGGGTTTCACCTCCCAAAGACCTGATATAAATAAGTGTTGGGGGAGTTTGAGCTACACAGCCTTGCCCTGGTTCTTCAAGGCCTGAAACCAAGGGCTGCCCCAGATATTTTGTTATCCCTTCTGCTGGGGGTAGTGGTGCGTAGTCCCGTGGGCCTGGCTCTGACCCCTGTCATGGCCTGGAATTCCTCCCTCCCTTGCCCTTAGGCCAGAATACTAAGGCCAGTGCCACCAAGGACCCCTAGGAGGAAGGAGGAAGTGAGGGTCTCCTCATCTGACCATATACCTGTCCTTGGTCTCCTGAGGCTGAGTAAGGAATGAATTGTATGGTGTTCCCACGGTGATGGGGTATTTGGTTCTCTTTATCCTCAGGGTATTCTCCTTGGCCTCTGGAAAAAGCTGGGAATCCTGCCATCGTTGGCCTTAGACCCTACGTCCCTCACGCCCTTGTGACACCCTATGAGGAAGTATATCACCTTGGGTCAACAATGCCCAGGTATGCCAGTGCTGCCAGCAAGGCTGTGGGGGTGTCTGGTTCTCTCAGTTCTTCGCTGAGTTCACTGAGTCTTCACTCTGGGGCTCATGTTCACTGCTAGCAGGGCTTTGCTGACTAGAGGCTGCTTTTCTCAGGCCAAGGCCCTCACATCTCTGACACCTTTCTTGCAGAGTCAGCCTTACATGATAGCTGCTGCTAGACTGCAGATCTATGGGCCATGGCTTGATATTCTTTATGTTACCATCTGTACTACTATTAGGGAGCCTTCCAAAGAGTAGATGTTCAGTTAATGCTAGAGTTGAAAAAAAAAAATGGAATGGGCACAATGTCTAATTTGTTACCATTTAATTTCTCATAGAATAAGCTGAGGTAGCCTAGATATACAATATTTAATTTTACAAGCAAAGAGCAAAAAGAATATAAGGCAAACAGAATTAACCAGCTTTTACTTTTATTTAACCATTTTGTGATCCAAATGTTTTTCCTACAGGTTTCTTTCACATTTACATGAAAAATCCTATTCCAATTCCATGTTACTTTGTTCTGTAGCATGAAGGAAATATTGGAGCCTATTCAATTTCTTTACAAATAACAAAACTCTTAATTTTCAACCTAAATAGTAATATATGTGACATCCATGTCATTAAAAGCCTTAGACTATAAAACAAAACTTCAATTTAAAGGTGCAATATTTGAAAACTTTTTTAAAAAAAGAAAGCTACAAGTAACTTCTAAGCAACAGGAAAACAAACAGAACAAATGTTTTGCTTCCCTACAGACCTACTACTTTAAAATGACTAAGAGGCTGGCCACTCTCTTCCTACTACAAAACTTCAGAGCTTCCCCAGCACTACCTAGACCTGGAAGGACCTGTGGAACTAGGCCCCTAAAGACTCAGAGACTTTGGCAGCAGAGGCGACCCTGGCAGCGTGTTTAGCAGCAGCCTTGGTGGCTTTCTTGGCCACGGCCCTGGCAGTGACCCTGGCTGCAGCTCTGGCTTCCAAAAACTCCTTCTCATCCCTCAAAGCCTCCTTGTACAGGTTGGAGAAGGAACTCAGAACCCTGTTGTTGATCTTGGCCAGAACCTCGAGCACCCTCATCTTACTGGTTTCAGTGTGGGCCCTGGCACCCCACAGGAACTCATAGTGAGGAGGGTCATGGTCGGGCACCTGGCAGTACTCCAGGTACTTCTGCTGCACCAGCTCTTTGGTGATGAGCCTCGGGGGCTCCCCAAAGATGAGGTGCCTCCTGCCGACATAGACTCTCATGATGTTGAGGAACTCCTAGACCTCTTCCTCGGTGGCACGGTTGCCCTTCATGAAGATCACGCGGAGCAACAACATAATGAGGCCGGTGGTGGGCAACACACTATCGCTGCTCAGAATTGCATCATCAGGGAGGCCCAGCTTGCTGACCAGGGTGTAGGCGTGACGTCTGCCATTGGCTTCCTTCAATTCCCGGCCAAAGAGCAGCTCCATGAGCTCAGAGGTTCTCCTGAAGATCTTGGAGAAGAGGTGCCTGTACTTCCTCCTGACGATCTTGAGCAGCACTGCCTGTGTGACCTGCCCCTTGGTCTTACACTTCTCCAGCAGCAACTGCCCCAGTTTGTTGACCTTCCTGGTGATCACGTGCTCACCAGCTCTGCACAGGGGCACTGCAGCCTGGGAGTGGCCTGTGCCCTGATTGTCTTGGCTGGCGGAACCTTCCTGGGCTACTGGGAAGAGACGCCCACAGGTGAGCACAGGGCAGAGCCACTGGAGCCAGACACAAAAGCAGACACGGAAATGGAGGGTGAGGAGGGCGTCTCTGCTGCATCATCTGCTGCCACAGCTGGCTGGACACCTTCTGGACCCTGGGTGTCCCGCTTGGCCTGGAGGCTATTCTCCTGGATGTGGTGCTTACTCTTGGGCTCTAGAGACATTCTGACACCCGGCTTCGACAGCACATACGGTCGTGGGTAGGAGGGCAGGTCGTGCAGACACCTGGCAGGGAAAGAAGCGGAGGAGAGAGATGAGGGCGTGTGCACTCTCGGCCTCAAGATGCCCAACACCGCTGCCTGGGTCCTAGTCAAGGCTGCCTCTTCAGGGTGCCTCCAGGGACCCTGACCTCCCGATCAGCCTGTACTCAGCCCTGAGAACCCGGGAGGTAGGCATGCCAGGGTTTTCGTAACACAGGTTTGTGGCTATTCAGAATGACAGCGAATCCTCACATTGGTCAAATGTTGGTCCTGGGACCGTTGTTCCTGTTGACTGATGCCCTGCTGTACCTTAAGAGCCAAGCTCTGAGCTCCCCGAGGTGTGCTATGGGACATTATGTGACATCTCAGCCTGGCGGACCTTTGTCCTATTTTAAGGGTTGACAGGACAGGACGGGACAGATGACACACTCATCCCCACTCCTGCCCTGATCGGAAAATCCTCCCTCTGCAGACCTGCAGCCACCCTCCACCACTTGCCAGGAACATGCACGTACACACACACACACACACACACACACACACACACACATATGCACCACGGCCCCTCCTCCATGACTCTGCTGAGAGCAAAGTGAGGAAGCACCTGAGTCTTCAGACATGCCCAAATCCTCCGAGGCTGATGTCAAGAGCAGGGTTCTGTGTGGCCCCTGTTTCAGGGCCTGGAGTCCCTTGATTCCTCCCAGAGGGCCCCTCTTCCCTCCACAGGGCCTGGGATTTCTCCCTCTGCTGAGCTGAGCCAAAGGCACCGGCACTGGGACAAGCTTTGGTCCCTGAGGCCCCCATGCAGAAAGTAATTGGACTTGGGACCTCACGGCCCGGCCGAGTCCTCCCGGGACCACGAGTTGGGGCAGGTGGGGCCGGGCCTGTGTGGCTGCTTCTTTTCTGGGGTAAGGGGTTTGGGGGTATTGGGGGCACATCCTCGCAGTTCTTACACTAGACGCCTGGCACCTCAGCACTTGATGAGAGACGTGGGGCTTGTCCGTGTGCTCTATCAGGACAGCAGCTCTCCCACAAGGCCTCCGCCGCCACCCACAGCATGGATAGGCAGAAGTTAGGAAGGGCTACTTCGGGTCCTGCGCACCGGACCTCCCACTCGAGGTGGGGGAGCAGTACAGTTGGTGTGAAGGGGTTTTGTGGGTAGAGGCAGGGCAGTCGGGGGAGAGACCAGCTTGCTTCTGCCCAGAGTCCCACAGGGCTGGGCCTGGGACTTGAGGCTCTGCTGAGCTGAGTCAGCTGACCTCCCACTAAGCCTCTCATTCCCCTCAGCACCCCCAGGAGGGAGTATTTGGGGGCCTGTGCCTACTACCGTGACACGGTCTCCCCCAGGTCTGACAGTCGGGTTGGTGAGTGCCCCTCTCAGCCCTTTCTATGCCTTCCTTTGACTCCTTGTAGGTGCTGCACTACCTCCTCTCTCGTGACACGAGGCCAACTCCTCACCTGAAAGATGTCAGTTCCCGGAGCCCAGCTTTGAAATGCATGTACACCTCACCTGGCCACAGCTGCCTGTCGCCTCCCGAGCTTGGCTGCTGCAGGTACGTGTGGTAAGGGGACAGAGGGGATCCTGTGGGATCCCATACCCCCTACGGTGTGTAGCTCCGCGTCCTCCCTCAGATCCTCACAGTGACTGCAGGCAGAGTCACATCCCTTCTCTGATGTGACTCCATCCCTGTCCTCTATCTTGGTGCACAACATCCCAAAAGGCAGAGTGAGGGGCTCCTTAGCCTGTGCGCTCACACTGTGTGATCTCTCTTTGTGGACATGAGGCTCATTGTCCAGAACGTTTCTGAATGAATTTCTGGCCTCATGTTAAATTACTTTGGTCTTGTTATTCTATTTTAGTTCATGCTTTATATTCTGTTAAGATGACCGTTAACTAGGGCCAGTCCTCATTCGCTGCTGAAGTTTCAGCTGCTTTAGCGCAGCCGGTGGACTCACACTGCCACCACCAACTCTGACGTCTGGTTGTTACCCATGTTTCTGGTGCGTGTGCTCTTGAGTTTCCACCTCCCATCTCTCCAATGAAGCAGTATAAACTCCCTGTCCCTGGGCACTCGGGAAGAAACATGGGCTGAACTTCCACATCCTTCCTCCCAACCTGACAGCTTCCCTTACTGCAACTACAGACCTGTCTCCTCTCCAGGGCCTGGTCCCTTCTGCCCACGGAGCTTGTAGGCCGGTGGAGACATGGTGTCCCTCAGGGCTTCCTTTGCTGTGAGTTTCTGCTTTTGTTCATACTGGTTTTTTTCACTCCTTTAATTTTCCCAGGGTTGATTTTGGGCATGGGGAACAGTGGCCTGAGTGTGGCTGTCATCTCAGCTGCTATGGGTGAGGCCCTAAGTCTACCAAGGAGTTAAGGGTGACTGATAGGTTTAGAACGTGTGCTCCTCGTGAGTGCACATGGCATGTGGTTCTTGCTGACGCTTCTTTTTCCTGAATCGGTCAGGAAATGTTTAGACTCACTTCCTTAAAGAGTGTGGACGTGTTTGTGAGGTATGTTTCTAAGTATGTTTTTTTATATCGTTTCTGCTGTGTGTGTTGTATTTGTCATTACACGTCCTAAGTAATTGTTGATTTTCCTTCAGATCAGTCTCTGGATTTTGCTCTGATGATCTTTTTGGTACCAGGTTTCTGAATCCCTTGTACATTTCAGTATTTTCTGTGCCTGTTCCCTTAGATTTGTTGAATTAGAGGATGAAACTGTTCCTGTTATTATCTTTTCCTTTTCACTCTTCATAGCTCTAATTTCTTTGGTCTTCTAGCATCGCATGTGCCTCTGTATTAGCTCTGGTTTTCCTGTTTTAGTTCAAAGTGTTTTTAAATGTCTCATCAGATTTCCTCCTTGGCCTATGTGTTACTCAGAAGTGTGTTGTTTCATCACCAAATACTTTTGATTATCCTGCTGTCTTAGTTGTATCAGTTTCTAGTGTAATTAATTGTATCTTGGTCTGAAAGGATTCTTTGGGTGACTTGTGTTCTTTGACATTTGGTGAGAAGTTGTAGGGCACAGAATGGGATCTTTCTTGGGGTATGTTCCCTGAGAGCTTGAACAGAATGTGTTTTCTGCTGTTGTCTTAAGTGTGCATAATTCCCAATACCATGTGCATCTAGTTAACTGATGGAGTTGTTCACTTCAACTGTACTTTCCTGGTTTTCTGCCTGCTAGAAGCATCCATTACTAATAAAGGGATGTTGAAGTTTCCATCTCTGAAAGTAGACTTGTCTCATCAGTGTTTGACTCATGTGTTTGAATACTGAGTTTTATGGTCCATGCAAATTATGTTTTTATGTTTTCTTTGAGAGTTGACCACTCTGTCATTATGTAATACCCATCTTTAATCCTGGTATGTTTTTCTTTCTTGCTAGCTTTTTTATTTGTTTATTAATTTATTATTTATTAATTTATTTATTCATTTATTCAAGGTATCATTGATAGACAATCTTATAAAGGTTTCACATGAACAACATTGTGGTTTCAACATTCACCTATATTATCATGCTCCCCAACCCCACCCCATTGCAGTCACTGTCTGTCACCATAGTAAGATGCTGTAGAGTCATTACTTGTGGTTCTCCATGATGTGCTCTTTCCCTGTGACCTACCTATTGTTATTGCTAATTATAGTGCCCCTTAATCCCCTTCTCCCTCCTTTTTCACCCACCCTTGCCAGCCCATTCCCTTTGGTTACTGCTAGTCACTTCTTGGAGTCTGGGAGTCTGCTGCTGTTTTGTTTCTTCAGTTTTGATTTGTTTTTACACTCCACAGATGAGTTAAATCATTCAGTATGTTTCTTTCTCTGCCTGGCTTTTTCACTGAGTGTAATGCCCTGTGTCCATCCACGTTGTTGCAAATGGTAGGATTTATTTTCTTTTTATGGATGAATAATATTCCATTGTGTATATGTACCGCATCTTATTTAGCCATTCATCTATTGATGGATGTAGGTTGCTTCCATTTCTTGGCTATTGTAAATGGTGCTGTGATAAACATAGGAGTACATATGTCTTTTTAAATTATGGATCTGGTTTTCTTCAGGTAAATTCCTAGGAGTGGAATTCCTGGGTCAAATTGTATTTCTATTTTTAGTTTTTGAGGAACCTCCTTATTGCTTTCCACAATTGTTGAACTAATTTATATTCCTACCGACAGCATAGTAGGGTTCCCCTTTCTCTGCATCTTCACCTGCATTTGTTGTTTCTTGTCTTTTGGATGTTGGCAGTCCTAACTGGTGTGTGATGATACCTCATTGTGGTTTATAATTTGCATTTCCCTAATGATTAGTGATGTGGAGCATCTTTTCACGTGCCTATTGACTATCTGAGTTTCTTTTTTGGAAAAGTATCTGCTCAGATCCTCTGCCCATGTTTTAATCCAGTTATTTGCTTCTAAGTGTCAAGACATGTGAGTTTTTTATATATTTTGAACGTTAACCCCTCATGGGATAAGTCCCAATGTTGATGGACATATTCTCCCATATTTGGGATACCTTTTTGTTCTGCTGATGGTGTCCTTTGCTGTACAGAAGTACTTTAATTCGATGTAGTCCCATTTGTTCATTTTTGGTCTTTCTTTCCCTTCCCTGAGATGCATCCAGGAAAAATTGTTCATGTTTATACTCAACACATTTTTGTCTATGTTTTCGTTTATGAGTTTCATGGTTTCATGACAGACATTTAGGTCTTTGATCCATTTCAAGCTTACTTTTATGTATGGAGTTAGACAGTAATCCAGTTTCATTCTCTTACATGTAGCTGTCTAGTTTTACCAGCACCACTTGTTGAAAAGACTGTCATTCCCCATTGTTTATCCATGGCTTGTATAACATATTAATTGGCCATATATATGTGGGTTTGTATGTGGGCCCTCTATTCTGTTTCACTGCTCTATGGGTCAGTTCTTGTGCCAGTACAAAATTGTCTTGATTACTGTGGCTTCATATTAGAGCTTGACATTAGGGAGTGTGATGATCCCCCCAGCTTTGTTCTTCCTTCTCAGGGTTTCTTTGGCTATTCAGGGTCTTTTATGGTTCCATGTGAATTTTAGAATGATTTGTTCTAGTTCGTTGAAGAATGCTGCTGATATTTTGATAGAGATTGCATCAAATCTGTAGATTGCTTTAGGCGGGATGGCCACTTTTGCAATTTTATGTCTTCCTATCCATGAGCACAGAATATATTTCCATTTATTGGTGTCTTCTTTAATTTTTTTCATGAGTGTCTTGTAGTTTTCGTGGTATAGGTCTTTCACCTCCTTGTTTAGCTTTATTCTGAAGTATTTTGTTCTTTTGGATGCGAGTGTAAATGGAGTTGTTTTCCTGATTTCTCTTTCTGCTAGTTGATTGTTAGTAGATAGGAATGCAACAGATTTCTCTGTATTAATTTTGTATCCTGCAGGTTTGCTGAATTCAGTTACTAGTTCTAGTAATTTTTTTGGTGGATTCTTTAGGATCTTTTGTGTGCAATATCATGTCATCTACAAACAGTGACAGTTTAACTTCTTCCTTAGCAATCTGGATGCCTTTTCTTTCTTTGTGTTGTCTGATTGCTGTGACTAGGATCTCCAGTACTATGTTGAATAAAAGTGGTGAGAGTGGGCATCCTTGTCTTGTTCCCGATCTTAGAGGAAAAGCTTCCAGGTTTTCGATGTTAAGTATGATGTTGGCTCTGGGTTTGTCATATATGTCCTTTACTACTCTGAGGTACTTGCCCTCTATACACATTTTATTGAGAGTTCTTATCATAAATGGATGTTGAATTTTCTCAAATGCTTTTCAGCACCTAGTTAGATGATCATGTGATTTCTGTCCTTCTTTTTGTTTATGTGGCATATGATGGTGATTGATTTTTGAATACTGTACCATCCTCGCATCCCTGTAATAAATCCCACTTGATCATGATGGATGATCATTTTGATATATTTTTGAGTTTGGTTTCCTAATATTTTTTTGTGGATATTTGCATCTATGTCCATCAGGGATATTGGTCTGTAATTTCTTTTTCTGTGGTGTCTTTGCCTGGTTTTGGTATTAGAATGATGCTGGCCTCATAAAATGAATTTGGAAGTATTCTCTCCTCTTCTACTCTTTGGAAAACTTTAAGGGTGTTTATTAGCTCCCCTTGAAATGTTCAATAAAATTCAGCCATGAAGCCGTCTGAACCAAGGGTTTTTTCCTTAGGTAGTTTTTGATTACCAGTTTGGTTTCATTACTGGTAACTGGTCTGTTCAGAATTTCTGTTCCTTCCTGGGTCATTCTCGGAAGGTTGTATTTTTCTAGAAAGTTGTCCATTTCTTCTAGGTTGTCCAATTTGTTAACATAATTTATCAGAGTATTGTCTAATAATTCTTTCTATTTCCATGGTATACATAATGATTTTTCCTTTCTAATTTCTGATTCTCTTTATGTGCATACACTTGCTTTATTTCTTGATACATCTATATGCAGGGATTTATCTATTTTGTTTATTTTCTCAAAGAACCAGCTGATGGTTTAATTGATTCTATTGTTTTATTTTTCTCAATTTTATTTCTTCTCTGATCCTTTTTAATTCCCTCCTTCTCCTGACTTTGAGCTGCATTTGTTCTTCTTTTTCTAGTTTCATTAATTGTGAGTTTAGACTCTTTGCTTGGGATTGTTCTTCTTTCTTGAGGTAGGCCTGTGCTGCTGTATACTTTCCTCTTAGAACTGCCTTAGCTGTATCCCACAGGTTCTGTGCTATTGAGTTGTTGTTTTCATTTGTCTCCATATATTGCTTGATCTCTCTTGTGATCCACTGATTATTTAGGAGCATGTTGTTAAGCCTCCATGTGTTTGTGGGATTTTTTGTTTTTGTATCATTTATTACTAGTTTCATACCTCTGTGGTCTGAGAAACTGGTTGGAACAATGTCAGTCTTCTCGAATATACTGAGACTCTTTTTGTGGCCTAGTATGTTATCTATTCTGGATGATATTCCTTGTATGCCTGAGAAGAATGTGTATCCTGTTGCTTTTGAGTGGAATGTTCTGAAGATGCCTGTTAGGCCCATTTGTTCTAATGCACTGTTCAGTGCCTCTGTCTCCTTACTTATTTACTGTCTGCTTGATCTGTTTTGGTGTGGTTGGTGTGTTGAAGTCTCCTAAAATGAATGTGTTCATTCTATTCCTTCCTTAATTCTGTTAGTATTTGTTTCACATATTTATATGCTCCTA